CCCCGGCTCGGCCCGAGGTCCGGGTTCTGCCGCCTTCTCCTGCCTGCGCCCAGGCTGGCTTGTCAGCACACGGGCGTTTGACCTGAACTCATGAGCTGGGGGCTTTTATACCCCCTTTTTTTTTTTTCCTCTTTTTTGTTTGTTTATAATAATCAAGTAAGCTATAGTTATATCCCATTCATATACTGCCATTTAGAATAGTCATATCTAATATTAAACATACACATATATAAGAACTAGGATACTCTTTATGGCCTCTAATTTATGATGTATTTAACGAAAACAAATGAACAAAAACCCCAAAAAAGAAAATTGCTGGTGTTTCCAGTTTCCCAACAGAGATGCAGGACTGAGCCCTGAGCCACTGCTCCGCACTATGGATTTGTCGCAACAAGGAACTGTGACAAGTGTGCCCCAGAGCTGTCCCTGTCGCCCCTCAGTGTCAGTGTGCTGGGACAGGGAAAGCAAAAATCTGCAACAAAAGCTCATCCAATCGTGTAACCTAAACCCATGTCTGTGTTTGAAGACAGGACAAACGGAGAGCCTTGGGGATTAACGCGGTGCAGCCCACAAATCCGTGTGTGTTTGCTGCGCTTTACGTGCGACCGCAGAGCGTTCTAGCTCCGTGCGTAATGCAAGAAAAACGGAACACCGCTCGCACGGGCAGGAGAAAAGCCCCAGTCCCACGTGCTGGGTCACGCTCCTGCCCGTGCTGAGGGCTGGAAATGGAAGGGAAGGAGCAACTTCTGCATCAGTAGCAGTGTCTGAAAAGCAATGTGCGGAAAACCAAACCCAACCCAACCCAAAGCCCAAACCCAACCAGCCTCATGCTTTGGTCAGTGCAAGAGTCCTGGGGGCTTTCGGTGGCCGAGAGCGAGGAAGCAGTTGCAGGGACCAGGACAATGGGGGGGACTCAGAACTCTGGGCAAAAAGCACTCGTGTGAATCGCAGCACAGCGATGGTCCTGCAGCTATCCTGGCTCAGCCTTCCGGAAAAGAAATGCTTGGTTCTATGCTGGCTCAAAACCCCGCCAAAGCCCCTCTGTCAGTTGCAAAGGGCCATCAAAAGGCCACTGGGAGTGTTACTCAAAGGTTTCCCATCGCTTTCTGAGCTGTTCAACCTTACCTGGTGTGGGTGACACGTCCTGCTTTGTCTTTCTTAACAAATCTTCAAATGGATCTTTTGTCTCCTCAGATTTTGAGGATAGTAACACTGACTCTAAGCCCTTAGCTGGCCTGGAAGGGATCAAAGGGGGTTCACTGGACAGGAGAGCTAGTGCTTGTTTGGGATCTACCTGCGAGCTGGACTGGCCCACCTGTAATGTTCTGGTTTTAGAAGGACCACTGAAACACGCTGGCTGTAGAGAGCTCGTTGGAGAAGGGCTGTGGCTCTGCAGCAGCAAGGAGCTAGCTGGTGGCACGGCTGGGGCCTGGCTAAACAAGTTTGGCATGGAAAGCGTTGAAATGTTTGCCTGAGGTCTTTGTGGTGGGTAGAAGCTAGAATTTGGTGTTATGAAGCTAGAGCTATAAGCATGACCTAAAGAGGGGGCAAAAGAGCCCCTCGGGGATCTAACTAGAGACACCGAAAGGGCTCCTGGCACCGTTTGCGTAAATGGGTTGGGAGAGGGCTGCAAGAACGGCGGCGGTGCCGGGGAAGGGTAACCAAGCGGCTGGACAAATGGTGCAGCTGGAGGGGACACAAAGTCACTTGCCACGGAGCCAAAGGCCGCTGCAGAGGGTGGAGTGGCTGGGCTCTGCAGGCTGCGGGGACCTTGCTGTGGGCCACTGCTGTGCCAGCTGGCTGTTTTTAACGGGTCCAGGAGATTAAGAAGGTAGTCGCTTTCATTACCTGTGTTATCTGTCTTCACTTTGACAGGCTGGAGCATCTCAGCAGTGCTGGAAGCACCAGACAAAAGCTGAGATGGATAATTTACAGACTGCTGGATTTCAGGGTCTAAGGACACACTGCCAACTCCAAAGGGCTCTGGGATAAGATCTGAAACCAAATGGCTACGTCCCATAGTGTGGGTGGTGAGAATTTCTGCTGGCCCAGGAGGAGTCTGATGCTTGGAAGCCCTGGGTGCTGGTTATCCCCAGTTCAGGAGTCTTTCTTCCCTGTGGCCTAGGAATGGTGATGTTCCCTTGAATGGCAGGATTTGACTCATCCTTTTCTGCAGGAGTCAGAATGCTGTCCCTGCTCCGGGGTCGTCTCGTGATTGGCGGCACACTGCTGAGCGCGGTCAAGGGCCGTTCCGGTGAGCTTTGGGAATACTTGGTCGGAATGGCCATGTCGTCGTGACCCATGCTCCACAGCTTGTTGTAAGGGTGAGACAGCTTCATGGTTGGCACAATCCTGTTCCTCTCAGACACACCAAGATCCATTCTCTGGAAGAAAGCAAAAAAAAAAACAACTTAACCTCTATGGATCTCCTCACAAGATAGAGCATAAAGTGACAAGAGGCTGCTGAGCTCTGAGCAGAAGAGGATCTGTCCGCAGGCTGGGAACCCTGGCGAGGGACAGCAGCACGCAGCCTGGAAGGACGGCCAGGACATCAGAAGCAGGACTCGGCAGTTTTAATTCCAGCTCTGCCTCTAATGAGTTGCTCAGCTCTGACATATTGTGGCATCTGTTGTTAGCCAGGTAAGGAGCATGTACCTATATCTAAGGTACAGAAATTGAGAACCCTTAATTGCTTTGTGGAAGAAGCTGTCAAATGAAATATTCTAAGGTAGAAATGACATTCTCTTCTTTCGTGTCACATGGAGATCTCAGAGGCTGCTTTAGCTTGGCACTTTCTAAGCTCCATGTATTCAGTGAAGTTCTTCATAGAGAATCTCTCTTCTACAATCTAGATTGTTCAAATGATGCCTAGATCAAAATGGCCAGGTTAAAAGAAGGCCATTTAAAAAACATACGCTTTGGAGGGGACCTGGAAATTCCCAGGGGTTCATTCTCACTGCTGAGCATCAGCTTCAAATATCACACTCTGTGATAACTAACAGGCAAAACAGATTCTGAGGAATAGGACAAATAGTCCTGATTTTAACAGTAAAGGCTGTAGTTTTAGTGGAAAAAGTTCCTGACTTTTAACCGAGTGCCATTCCAAGAATTTCTTACTTCAGAAATGAACTTCGAAATGCACGAACAAACAGCTGGAAAATGGATGCATCTACCCAATACTATGGAAATGTCACTTGGAGAAATGTAAGACAAGCAGCTGTGCCAAAGCCCTAGCACACACGAAACCCTGCCCAAACCTGGTAATCAAACGTGCATCGCTGATCTGCCTCTTCTTTGGGAGTCCGCAGGTCTTCCAGGCTCTTGGCTTGGCTGAGCGGCTGAGGCTGTGTTTCTATGTCTAAGTTAGAGAAAGTATCTTCAAGGAGGTTGATTTCTGTGGCCTTGCTTGAGAGCAGAGGGCTCGGAGGCAAAGGCTCTTTTGATTTTTCTGGGCTGGCCACCTCTTCCCCATCAGCACTGTCAGACTCTTTCAGGGCCCGATATGGCTGAGGCCTAGGAGAGAAATAAAAATCACGTTGCACATGACTGTCTAATTTGATTTTTTTTTTTAAACAAGTATTTACTAAGGAGCTGGATGGCTTTACAAGTAGCTTTTTGGTGACAAAATGCAACGTAGATTGCAGGAGGACACACAAAGATGACTTGGCACTCAGGGGGTTTCAGAAAGGAAAAAAGACGTAAGTGGAAAGTACGGAGAGGAAAGCTGTGGCCATGCAGTGACAGACGGGCTGCTGCGGGAGCTCTCTCGGAGCCAGAACAACCGGACGCCAGCTCTGCATTTCGACAGTCAGGCCCTCCCCTCAGGCAGACCATGGCGACTGAGCTCAGTCCTTCGACACGAGGAGCCCGAGCAAGTGGGCTGCAAAGGGCTCTGCGTTTTGCAGGCACTTACATTGTCTTGCTTCAAGCTAACTCAGCACAGAGCATAATTCAGTGTTTTCCTGCAATAACTAGGAACGCTGTGCAGAGTTCCAATGATTACATCGGTGTCATCTTATCAAGAAACAACACAATCCATTATGGAGACACCTATTTTACATTTACAGCCAAGGCCGAGTTAGCAGGATGCTTTCCTTGCACATACCTCAGCAAAAAAATGAACACCAGCAGATTTGCATATTGGTTCTGTGTACAGAGAAGAGCAGCATAATGCGCATCCAATTAATAACAAGAAGTGCCATGCATCTCTATGGTGATTGGCATTTGACTGGCAGCCAGTTTTACTGTGGCATTTAAACGCAGTTTCAGTTAAAAGAAAATATTTGTGAGACCTGCAGAAATAGACACTATGGAAGAACCCTCCTCCTCTCTCCATATTTTATTATAATATATCTATATCATGCAAATTTATCAGCAGCCCACCTCGCTTCATTCATCGATGCATAAATAGCAGGCATTCAGCTAGCGACACAAGAAAGTAATAATGCAAGTACAAGACAGACAGCTGATGGGACACGTCCTTAGGAAGAGGGGGATCTTGCGAATCTTGGTCGCATCTTCAGTTGCTCACGTAATATGTGCTCATCTGCTAAGCGTTAGATCACACTGCAAAAAAACAGCCCTGAAGAATATTCTGCAGACAAACCATTTCAGTGGCCTGGCCTCCTCCACCCCATCCGCAAGCGTGTGGAAACATCTTTCTGGTGCTTTGCTGCCGAGTCTACCTGGGCCTCCCCACGGCCACCTGCCTGCAGTCACGACCCCTCCCTGTCTGCCGCTGAGCCTTCCTTCTGCCTCTCACAACGGATTTTAGCAACTGGAGACCCCGCTATCGAACTGGCTGCCTTTCTCCAGCCCAGCCCAACGCGGCTGCACCCAAGGAGGACATTCAGCCGGTAACTGCACTGGAACAAGGCTCACAGGACAACCCAGAAGCACAGTCAGCGCCGCACAAGGAAGAATGGCAGAAGGTTTGGACAGGAACACAAGGAGCACATTGGAACAGAGGGCGAGTGGAAGGGTTGCATCCCACAGAGCTTGAGTCGATGTAAAACCATAAGCTGTGCATTGCTGCAGTGCTTCATGCAGGAGTATGCTTTTGCATGCCGCTAAAAATCAAAACAAACAAATGGGAGAAATGCTGAACATTCATCAAGTGCTGTACAGAGACTGCAGGAGCATCTCCAAAAGCGTAAGAGCAGGCACCCTGACCAGTGCAAGTGTTTGAAGACCAAATCAATACAATGAGAGAAAAAAGGATAGACCATTCAAAAGGAGCAGAGAAGAAAAAGTTTTCAGAGAAGCCAGAGACAGGATCCTCTGAAATTCATCATCAGAAGAGTCCTCAGAGAGGAAGACCGTATAGTGTCGCATGGGCTTTACAAGGCTGAGGGAAACAGGAAGAGAAAAGGAAGTTACCAAGTTGTCACAATCAAAGCTCCAGAGCAGAGAGCAACCAAGTGCTTTACGGGCTCTAAATCATTTCT